GGTGAAAGTGAGTGAGGGTGGGAGAGAGCGAGCGATGGAGGGAGGGGGGAATGGAGTGAGCAGGGTGGGGCTTCGGGGAATGGATGGGGCATTGGGGAAGGGATCCTTGGTTGCACTTAAATTCAAAAAAGTGATCTTGTGTATAAAAAGGTTGGAGACCACTGCTGTACAGCAATTACTGGTACATCCATTTGTAAGACTCACCTCTCTCCACAACAGTTGGTAGAGTTCAAAGGAACAATAACAGGTTAGGTCAGTGACTGCAGCGTGATACTTTGATAACTATTTTGCTTTGATTTATATAGCTTTCCCATTTTTTCTGATAGCTCCATAAAGAAGTACGTATGGAGGCTTATTTTGGAAGCAGACTGGAAGTAACTTAAAAGGCTGTCTGCTTGTTCAAGGGAATGGAGTGGAACACATTATAAAAAAACCTTCCATTTGTCCCTTCCTACTGTAGTTAAAATTTGAGTGGACTAAAACACTTGAAAATATTTCTCTGCAGTCCAATAAAAGATATTTTGTTTACAAGTTTTATATAAAAATCTTAAATGACAATAGTTCTCGAGTCAATTCTCTGCACAGTTCAGCCAGCAGTTATCCCTGCAAACCTTGCCCTTCAGCTGCACCTTGTGGGAGGGGAGCCAGACTGCATACTCTCACAGGAGCAAATAGGCCTAGCAGTCTGTTGATAAGAGGACATCTTTGTTCCTGGTGCTAAATATATATTTTTCCCACGACCATGCTGATCACTGCTTTAATCTTCCTCTGGAAATGAAGGGCCCCAGCAGAGTAATGGCAAACAGACTCCACCATGTTGACTCACTCAATATTGATGGGTTCTGAACTTTTGTCTGTGACAGTCAGAATACCTATATTTGCAATCCGACATTATGTTGCCCTTTCACCAAGGATAATGTGTAGCAGATGGAGGTAAACTGTACATGAGAAAATAAAACTGTGCTATATTTTATTATCATTTTAATCTGTTTGGATGGTGGGTTTTTTTTGTTTTGTTTTGTTTTGGCTTGTTAAAATATGTATAATTATAATAATAATACAAATAAATAAGTATGTACAACCAGCACGTAGCTCTCTGCCAGTGATGCATATGTTACCTCTGTGCAACTCTTATCTTTCCATCTGACAAAAACATTGTGTTCTTATGTAGGCCTTTAAAGTGCCATCTGTTTACAGACTTTTCTTCTGAAACATTTATTTTAGAGTAAATTAAGCTCTGTCTGTCTGGTTTGTCTTTTTTTATAGTGCCTGTCTTCACCATATCTAAGTGCTATGTTCTTCCAATTGTGTAAACTCCATAAGGCCGTGTAAAGTAGATATATTTGAGTGTGATTGATGCTAGGAATGGGGCAGGTCCATACTTAGTTTGCAGGCTTGTGTTATACAGATGCTTGGACTTGAATGGGAAAGAAGGCATGTGAATGAGTTCTCCTTTCCAACTGTGGATCCTGTTCTTCTTTTTTGTACTCATCTGGTCACAAAAGTAGGGCACTCACAGTGAATAATATAAGCATTATCCACACAGGAATGGAAGGAAGGATGTTGTGGAGGCTCTTTCCATTGATGAGTGTGTGGGTATATTCTTCAACTTGATGGCCATGCCATCAACACATATACCTGCAATCTCAGTGCATGTTGACCATTCAGTCTTCCCACTGGGCTGGCACTGCCATGCTGGACTTCACTTGCAGTGTCTGAAGGCAAGGCAGTCAGGCTTTGCAGAGTCCCAGACCATTCCTGGGAAGCTGCTGGGCTGCTGCTTTACTAGGGAACTTCCCCACTCAGGATTTCAGTTTGCTTCCATGGATATGGTACTCAGTTGTGCCATAGGGTTGCTTCTTGTGCCATGTCACAGACACTGTTAGGGACATCACTTGATCTATATGTGTAGTAATTTCAATTTCAAAAAATCCCTGCCAGCGGGGTGATTCAGTTTGGGGGCTTAATCAATAGAATATATAAATTGAAAGCCTTAGAAGAAAATAATCATTGCTGAATCTAGTATACATGCATGTGTTTTCCCGAAGTGATTCATGGGAGTGATAATAACCACCTGCAGTGCTCTAAATCACCTTAAATTACATAGATAAATCATGCTTTTATGATTAAGTCTACAGTTATAATTTCATATGCTTTTGAAGAGTATCCCACCTATCAGGAAGACATAATCTTTCTCAAACCCATTTGCTAATAAGATGTGAAAGCTGTGTCATAAATATGTTATGTAATACATACCTGACTTATAATCTCTGATCCAGAAAAACACTGGGATCAGTGAACAAAACAGTGATCTTTCAAAGCAGGCTGTATGGGTAAAGAGTAATTTCCCAAGTAACAGGAGTTAGTCTCTTTGCAATTGTGGAGTGATGTGTCAGAAATTGTATTTAATTTTGCTGTAGCAGTTTGAATGATTGCAGATCTCATCCCTGATTTCTTAAGATAATACGTGCCGATTTCTTAAGATAATAACAGTGAGAGATAAAAAGGCAGCTTTTAAAAAGTGGAAGTTGAATCCTAGTGAGGTAAATAGAAAGGAGCATAAACACTGCCAAATTAAATGTAAAAATGTAATAAGAAAAGCCAAAAAGGAGTTTGAAGAACAGCTAGCCAAAAACTCAAAAGATAATAACAAAATGTTTTTTAAGTACATCAGAAGCAGAAAGCCTGCTAAACAACCAGTGGGGCCCCTGGACGATCAAGATACAAAAGGAGCACTTAAAGATGATAAAGTCATTTCAGAGAAACTAAATGAACTGTTTGCTTCAGTCTTCACGGCTGAAGATGTTAGGGAGATTCCCAAACCTGAACCGTCTTTTGTCGGTGACAAATCTGAGGAATTGTCTCAGATTGAAGTGTCACTAGAGGAGGTTTTGGAATTAATTGAGAAACTTAACAGTAACATGTCACCGGGATCAGATGGCATTCATCCAAGAGTTCTGAAAGAACTCAAATATGAAATTGCGGAACTATTAACTATGGTTTGTAACCTGTCCTTTAAATCAGCTACTGTACCCAGTGACTGGAAGATAGCTAATGTAACGCCAGTATTTAAGAAGGGCTCTAGAGGTGATCCTGGCAATTACAGACCGGTAAGTCTAATGTCAGTACCGGGCAAATTAGTTGAGACAATAGTAAAGAATAAAATTGTCAGACACATAGAAGAACATAAATTGTTACGCAAAAGTCAAAATGGTTTCTGTAAAGGGAGATCGTGTCTTACTAATCTATTAGAGCTCTTTGAGGGGGTCAACAAACATGTGGACAAGGGGGATCCAGTGGACATAGGGTCCTTCGATTTCCAGAAAGCCTTTGATAAGGTCCCTCACCAAAGGCTCTTACGTAAATTAAGTTGTCATGGAATAAGAGGGAAGATCCTTTCATGGATTGAGAACTGCTTAAAAGACAGGGAACAAAGGGTAGGAATAAATGATAAATTTTCAGAATGGAGAGGGGTAACTAGTGGTGTTTCCCAAGAACCAGTCCTAGGACCAATCCTTTTCAACTTATTCTAAATGATCTTGAGACGGGGTAAACAGTGAGGTGGCAAAGTTTGTAGATGATACTAAACTGCTCAAGATAGTTAAGACCAAAGCAGACTGTGAAGAACTTCAAAAAGATCTCACAAAACTAAGTGATTGGGCAACAAAATGGCAAATGAAATTTAATGTGGATAAATGTAAAGTAATGCACACTGGAAAAAATAACCCCAACTATGCATACAATATGATGGGGGCTAATTTAGCCTCAACTAATCGGGAAAAAGATCTTGGAGTCATCGTGGATAGTTCTCTGAAGACATCCACGCAGTGTGCAGTGACAGTCAAAAAGGCAAATGGGATGTTAGGAATCATTAAAAAAGGGATAGAGAATAAGACAGAGAATATCTTATTACCCTTATATAAATCCATGGTACACCCACATCTTGAATACTGCATACAGATGTGGTACCCTCATCTCAAAAAAGATATATTGGCATTAGAAAAGGTTCAGAAAAGGGCAACTAAAATGATTAGGGGTTGGAACGGTCCCATATGAGGAGAGATTAAAGAGGCTAGGACTTTTCAGCTTGGAAAAGAAGAGACTAAGGGGGGATATGATAGAGGTATATAAAATCATGAGTGTGTGGAGAAAGTGAATAAGGAAAAGTTATTTACTTATTCCCATAATATAAGAACTAGGGGCCACCAAATGAAATGAATGGACAGCAGGTTTAAAACAAATAAAAGGAAGTTCTTCTTCACTCAGCGCACAGTCAACCTGTGGAACTCCTTGCCTGAGGAGGTTGTGAAGGCTAGGGCTATAACAGGGTTTAAAAGAGAACGGGACAAATTCATGGAGGTTAAGTCCATTAATGGCTATTAGCCAAGATGGGTAAGGAATGGTGTCCCTATCGTCTGTTTGTCAGAGGGTGGAGATGGATGGCAGGAGAGAGATCACTGATCATTACCTGTTAGGTTCACTCCCTCTGGGGCACCTGGCATTGGCCGCTGTTGGTAGACAGGATACTGGGCTGGATGGACCTTTGGTCTGACCCAGTATGGCCATTCTTATGTTCTTATGTTCTTCCTTTGCTTGAGGCATTCTGATCATATCTCGGAAGTTCCACATGATATCCTGTGTAATGTGTATTTTGAAAATACAAACTCAGACTTGGGAAGTTTTGGGTCATTCATTTATTTGTTTTAAATACAGGGAACTCCAAGCATTATTTTGATGAAAACTCAAAATCGATTAATTGATCAACATCCTAGTTATAATGTGACCTGTTTATATGCATCCAGCATAGAATTTGTTTCTGTGTTTACGAACTGTGTCATGGACTACTTCATTATTAGTTTTTTCTTACTGTTAAACCTCCACGATATTAGGAATTTGAATTTACAGCTGAAACATATGGCTTAGATAGGATACATTAATTTGCATCACAGAGAAAATAAAGGCAAGGTAAATAAGCATTTGTTTTCCATTTTGTTTTACAGGAGGCAATAAGCTGAAGAGCCAGCATTTTCGTTTGAACTGGGCCTGGATCTCTTTAGAGAAGGAATATTATTTGGTAAATGAAGACTCTAAATATCTAGATGTTGTTCTTAAGCGGAGAGGTTACCTGGGAGAAACCTCTTTTATTAGTAAGTTCCAATCCTATAAATTACTTCTGAGCCATAGACCAGCAAGATTAGCAAAACGTGTCACAATATGTTACCTTCGTACTGTTTGGTACTCATCCAACTAGGTACACTAGAAGGAATATTTATTAGAACAAGGTTCTTTTGTTCAAACAATTGTATGTTTCATTTAAACTAAGGCACAAAATCAAATTATACATCAGTTACTGATAGTTTTATGTCCTTTTCGAGTCAAAAAACAATCTTTAGTAGGAATTTCCTTTTCAACAGTAACCACATTGGATCTTTCATCTATACATTTTCTGATTTCTGCAGCAACTCATCGTTGGTTATAGCTGCAAGGGACCCAATCCTTCTCTTTGAATTCAAATGTAGAAATTCTCCTGGCGTGAATGGGAGCAAAATAAGGCCATATATCTTTACAAATAAATTAGGTTAACAGGGTTGAAATTGGGGCTCTGAAAGGGCCCCCTTGATCCTAATTAGTTCCCCAAACTCCTTTTTCATATGAAGTAGCCTTTTAATTAAAAAAATACTAAATTTGATCCATTATACACTGAAAACTAAAAATGCTTAAACTAAAGAATGTGCAGTAAAAATGGTGGTTTTATAAATTTGTGCATTTTATGCATGTTTATCTGTGTTGTGCACAACACACTTGTAGAAAATACCTCATTTATAGACTCCGACCAAATATCCATTAGCCCACTGAAAGGAGCTGTGATTTCTGACTCTGGGATGAATTTTTATGGAACTTACTTGGAACATTTGGCTCAAGTTAGTATGAACAGGGTCTGTCACTCAGTGCACCAGATGAATGAAAAGAACAAATTTGCCATTTTGCAATTCCATTTGATACATATTTCCAAAGAATTGGCCACAGTATGGCATCAGAGAGGATAAATTGTGTGTTGTATCTACCCATAATTTTCCTTGAACTTTGTCATTACAAGACTGAGAGTGTCAAATGCTAAGATTTGAGGGGAAGTTTCTCTAGCTGACTTTGATTATTAATGCTAAATATAAAACAGCAACAGTTAACATCAGCAGTTCCAGGCTGTGAAACACTTTCTTTTTCGGATGGGGCAGTTGGCCTGATGGTTAGGGAGAGGGCTTGTATTGTCATGTGGAAAGTGAAAAGTTTATTTAAAAAAAAAAGTTGCCCTCTGATTTTATTAGTTTTAGTCCCCAGTTATGTTGCTTATGAACAGTTATCAACAGTCATCTTTTAAGCAAGGTCTTAAAACTAAAGGAGAACCTGAAAAGGTTCTAGTTTGTAAATGCTCTCAAGTTTCCTGAGACAGAAAAGTTCAAAATGGACAAAAAGAATTTGCTAGGGAATATTAACTGAAATACAATAAAAACATTTTAATTACATAGATTTTAGTTTATGAACTGGAATATAAAATATATTTCAGAAGCTTGTTGGTTGGTCGGTCAGATTTTCCAGCATTGAATTTTTATCAATACTCTTTGAGACAAAGTCAGCACTTCTTTGTCAGGTAGAGCATTTATTGAAGTCAATGGGAACTTTTTTTGATTTGATTTGATTTAAGGCTACAGAATTTTAGCATTTGTTATTGACTGGACAGTATATTCAAAAGCACCTAAGTGACCAAGGGCCAGATTTTCAAAGATGCATATAGGCGCCTAGTGAGATTTTCAAAAGTGCCTAAGGGGAGTTATGCACCTAACATGCTTTTGAAAATCCCACTAGACACCAGTCAGCATCATTAAGTGCCTAAATACTGCTACAAATCTGGCTCTTCAGTGCTTTTGTAAATGTTACCCTCTGTCTCACACATGCATATGCACATACACTTCATAGTCTAAGACAGTTTACTAGTGGAAAGGAATTGTCAAACTGGGATCAGAAAGCTTTTTAACCATCCTTACAATTATTTGCATCTGCAGTTGTGTTTTGCATGAATTCATTTGTTATTGAGTAGCCTTATTTGATTAACCACAGCTAAACAGGTAAGTTTAATTAATAAACTTAATTACTGAAACTTTTCAAACACCTCACAACTTGAAACTACCTTTTGTAATAGTTACAATTTGCAGAATTTGCCAAATGCCTTCGAGGATAATGATTAACAATACCTTTTTTATAAACAATTATTTCCATACATAGGAGTTCCATCCCACAACAGCTGTACTTCAGCTCATTTCTAGTGTGCTACACCTGTGAGTGATTAACCATGAAATGTTATTCAACAACTGGGAAATAAAAGCATTCCATTTGTAGCCTGCTCATCCTCATCAGTCATGATAACGAACTGCAGTAGGATTGAGAGTTTAGCAGAATCTATATTTTCTAAGATGTATTGGGTACTGCAGCATGTCAAGAAAATCCACAGATTGTCCATTGCTTTCCATTTTTATTCTCTTTTTACTCAAATTAAAACGAGCAAAAACTTTATGCTCTTATACTTAACTTAGAGTAAAGTTTATGCAAGAATAATTAATACAAAGCTCAGTTGTAATTGTGCAACATGGGAAGAAATTTCCTTTCCAGTCCACATATTTGATCTCAGTCCTACTACTCTGTACTTTCTATGCATGTGGAATTCCCCAGGATGTCAATGGGAGTTTATGCTCATAAGGAATTGATATGCCATATGAGTTTGAGAGGAGAATATTTCTGTATTAAGATTGTTGATTTGCTGATTTGTGGATTATGTTCTCCTGCCATCTACACTACTGTAAATCCAGACTAACTCCATTGACTTCAGAGATATTATGAGTGAGGTAAATCAGGTCAGAATTCAAACTTGTCTTATTAATCAAATTGTTCCATTTAGATGGAAATGAAAGGACATCCTTGGTTTATAGAATAGATCATCTATAAAGGAAGTGTTGCAGCGGATTCCTAGGTTAAAACCTCTCTTGGTATGTCTACACAAGGATAAAAAAACTGCAGCTGGCCCGCGTCTGCTGACTAAGACTCCAGAGCTGAAAAATTGCTGTGTACCTGTTTGGGCTTGGGCTGTGGTGGAGGGTCCCAGAGCTCTGACTCCAGCCTGAGCCCTGAACATCTACACACCAATTTTTAGCCCCAAGCCCCAGAAGCCCGAGTCAGCTGACCCAGGCCAGCCACCGCTGTGTCTCGGGTCTTTTCTCCTCATGTAGACATACCCACTGGGACCACAAGTGGGAAGGGGGGGAAAATGGTTTTAATCATAGTCCCTCATTTATTCACACCACGAAACCACCACAGTGTTGCATGATTTTAGCATGACTGAAGCTTCTGCTCAACAGACTTTCCAGCCTACTACACTGTGACTGTTCCAAGTCACTTCTTTTCTTCAATGGAAGCTACATTCACCCACAAAATGTAAAATAAGTTACCCACATGAACTCTGACTCTAACATTAACTGATCTGAGCAGAAAGTAGAGTTTGGGATTCATACATAACAGAAAGTTCATATCCTCCCCAATGTTGTATAATACTTATGGAAAAATTCAATTACTGTCTACAAGATTGATCTTACTGTGGAATCCAGTATGGAACTGTTGTTTGAGTTTTGCTTATATTCTGGAAACTTGCTCCTTGATAAATCTAAATGGTCTCCAGAATCCTATATAAGAGAGGACAATGAAACAGCTTAAACAACCAATTGCCACCTCAAACGTGGCCAGTCCAACATTGAGAAAAGATTGAGGACTAGTTTAAAAACAAGAGCTGTTGGGGGAAAAAATTCTTCCCTCAATGCTACATTTTTATTTTTACAAAATGAGGGATAGGGTTGGGTGGTCGGATGGTATAATCCAAAAGGAGAAGTATCTTGAGATGATGCTGCCAGTGCCAGCAGTGCGGCGAATCCTGCTCGCGTTACTCACCTGGACGCCACTGGCTGTGTGTGTGTGTATATGTGCATGCCCACACGCATATGTGCAATGTTGTTCTCTGGGAGCTGAGTGACTGGGGAGGCTGAGGGACTTATTACTACTTGTAACTAAGGAGGGTCTACCATAGTTCTAATTTCCTTTTCTTTAGTTCTGTATTTTTGAGCCGAAAGAGTAGGATTCCATTCCTGGCTCCCCAGGCATATGTATTAGGAATTAATCTACATCAGTGGTGCCCAAACTTTTCCTGTCATGCCGCCCCTTACCAATAGTGGAATCTGTCCAGCCCCCACCCCACTGCTGCACAGTTGGCTTAGCAGCAGAGCTGGGGGCAGAACTGGGTATGGGGGAGGAGCTGTGGCTGGAGGCAGAGCTGGGCTTGGGGCAGAGAGGGAATGAGGCAAAGCTGGGCTGGGAGTGGAGAAGGGGGCAAGTGGAGCTACAGTTGGAGCTGGAGCAGGGCTGAGGGCGGAGTGGGGCTGCGTGGTGCTCCCTACCACCCCCATATAGGCTGGCGTGGGCCTCACTGTGGGCCCCCCTGAATGTTCCTCCAGCCCCCTTTGGGGGGCATGCCTTACATTTGTGGGACCACTGATCTACGTGCTGCAGACAGACACAATAACTGTATACAAACCACACACACTGGTGTGTGATTAATTGTATATAATAGTTGTGTCTATCTGTAGCACATAGATCAATTAAAATGTGAATAATTGAATTGATAAGGACTAGTCCCCGGAGCAGAGTGAGCAGTATTTGATCTTGTCATTAAACATGAAGAATTCACACATACTGAGTCTGTGAACAATAAAGAGATGCAGAGTTTTCCCTAAAGACAGAAACCTGTCTTTTTTTTGTTGAATCCATTTATGTTTAGTGGGATACCGAAGAAGAGCATCTGTTGAGGAGCTTACATTCATGAAGATCCGTGTTTTATAAATAAAGACAACAAAGAATTTGGATTCTAGCCCCAGTTAAATCCAAAGACAGCACTAACTCTTTGCCTATAAGTTTAGGAATTGTTTTGAGAGTATAGTCATAAAGTTTGTCTCCTGTGCATTTGTTTTGTAGAACACAGTGGGCAGCAAACTGTTAAGACAAACATTAACATATTATCCTTTACCAGCCATGCTGCTGTGAACTGATGTGATCCAGCAATGACCAGCATATGCATTAGGAATTGCAGCAAGTAGGCTCATTTTCTTCCGTCAGTGTTGCCAGTGATTCGTGGTTGATCCAAGAGGTGTTGAAAACTGCTCACAGTGGATGAGGAGTGAGAAGGGGGGGAAAAGTGCTATCACATTCTACAACCTCACACATATCTCTGGCTTCTGGATCTGCTTTTTTTTAAATTCCAATTCCCTCTGCACTGGCAGTATTGATACATTTGGACGCTGAAATATTAATCTTGCACAGGTTCAGGTCAAAGCACAGGCAGGACTTAAACTGATTGGAAGAAGAGGAAAAACAGTTTAAGTCCCTGATTCAGCAAGATACGCTTCAAGCACAAGTAGTCCCACTGAAGTCAATAGGCACTGCTTAAAATGAGGCACATGTTTAAGTTCTTAGCTGAAGCAGGATCTAAGTGACTCTGTTTATGACAATTAACTTGGCTACGTACTTCTTTTTTCTTTCAAAGAGCAAATGCTACATCGCAAAATAATATATAGTAACAGGAGTGCTGGAACAATTTGTATAGTGGGGGTGCTGAGAGCCATTGAACCAAACTGTAAACCTTGTATCTGATGGAAACCACTGCAAGCCAGAACCCATAGTTCCAGCACCTATGTGTAATAATAAAGCACAAGTTAAGGAATTTTCTTGATTGGTTTAAATTGTTATTGATATTGGCTAACAGATACTGATTTTATTCAAGGAAGTAACAATACAAATTTGTCGTCTGACCTTTTCAATAACAGTATGTACAAAATTTTCTGCCTCTGTAAAGTGAATTCAGTTTAGTTTCTAAATCCTTTGGACTCTGATTCTAACAAGGAAGTGATTCCAAGACTGACCGGTGGTTAACTTGAATCTGACTAACCTAATCCTGCTGAGTGTAATTCCAGGATAAGAGTGCAAAAGTTGTTAGGGGAGGTTCTTATCCCCCTTTCCTGTCTCTGTATACAGGGTAAATGGCTTGGAGTGGCAAAAGGGTCTTCAAAAGCCCTGGATCTGGCAGGGGGAATCCCCCCATGCCAGAAGTGGGAAAGACAGCCACAAGTTGTATTTTGAGGACCTCCTCAGAAACCCTGTTGTGGGGGGCATTCCTGTGGTGGAGATGAGGGCAGAAATATGTGATGGAGACAACTGTGACAGGCTGTCTAATTTACATTGAGGTAGCCCAATCTCAGGAGGGCACAAAGATGACTTAAAGATACCTCAGACCCACAGTTTCCTGGGCTGCAAGTTCTGTGTTTTTTCTCTAAGGGGCACAGTGCTGAATTTCATCCCTCGGCTTTGCTACCCGATTTTGACCTGAGTTATCCATGAAAAGTTTGAGATTAGTGGTGGCCATTATATAAAGGCTGAAACAATCTGATGTCACAACAAATATAGTTATTGTAGTGAGAATGTCACTATATTTCAGATTTCATAACCATTCATTGTCATTTCCTGTGTTTAGTTGTTCATAACTTCCCCAAACTTCCATCTTTCAAGCTAAAATTTTCCAGGCTTGGTCTCTGCCTGAAAGTGGTAAATGGTTTTTTGAAAGTTTCAGCAAAAAGTGTTCAGGCATTTTTGAGTAGCAGAGAATTAAAGAACAAAAACAAAAAGTTATTTTAAACAACTATGTAACTGAAATGTCCTGGGGTAGTAAAGCTGACATTTAGCCTGGAAAGTATTGAATTTACCAGCAGTTGGTTTTGATTTGGGTGACAGTAGCCAACCTTGGTTAATCTGTGTTTACCTGTGCTGGATGTTCCAACTCAAATTCTGAAACAGAGTAACAGGGTTATGTTGGGTGGCTCCTATGTATTTCTGAAGATTTACCCAACAGCCTAAACCCTGCAGATACCCTCTGTTGGGAAAAGTGTATATTTTCTAAACTATTATTTGGTAATGGGAAATCAGTAATTATTATAGTTCAAACAGGAGTTAATTCAGGGAAGTTCTATGGCCTGTGTCATATGGAGGTTAGGTCACTAGATCATAACAATGGTTCCTACTCACCTGGAAATCTATGAATCTGTGAATGACAGAAAAATAGAATTGATCTGTTGTTAATGGTCCTATTTTCTGTTTTTCTCAACAGGTATTAGCACTAAAGATGGAACTGCTGAGAGGGATAAAGACTTCAAAGGAAAAGCCCAGAAGCAGGTGCAATTCAATCCTGGCCAAACCTTAGCTACCTGGAGAGTGCGGATTTTGAGTGATGGTGAACATGAGCAGTCTGAGACCTTCCAAATTGTGCTTTCTGAGCCTGTCATGGCTGTCCTAGAGTTTCCTGAAGTGGCTACAGTGGAAATTATTGACCCAGGAGATGGTAAAGACATTTCAAAAATGTTATTCTGAATCTGTAGACGCAGCTGCAGAGAAAACTGTAAGAAAGGACTGGTAAAGTGATTCCTTCAATATTATATTTTTGAGGACAGATTTAGGTATCATCTTGATGTTTTGTCAGAGGTCACATTCAGCTTTGTAGTTCCTGAGAACCTAATGAATGTGGTGTGTTTTTGTGTGTAATATATTTTTTCATGTCTTTACCCTCGTTTATTAGTTCTGCATTGTTTTATTGTGGACTTAATAGAGCTGCTTTTGAGGCTCATAGTCTTCCTAAACCTTTTAGGGTACCCTTTCCAATCAAAATCCATGCTCTCAGTAGTGCTCATGTGCTAGTAGGCATCTGCCTGCCTTGTAAGGTCAGGCAAAAAAACCTTAAACCTTCTTCAAAGGTAGAATTAGTGGAGTGCACAAAGGAAATCAGCTTAGAGAAGTAGAGAAAAAACTCTGCTTTGTTGTTCAATATACTTAAAAAGTGTAACCTGATGATGTTGATTTTATCTCATGTATATTTACCTTATACTAAACAGTGAAATAATTTACACACCAACAGTGGCCTCCAAAATAGTTCGAAATTCAGAAACCACTTTCATTACCCCAGAATTAAGTAAATCACTCACGATTTCATTAGCTGAATGCGTGACTCTACCAAATCATGCTGATTAGCTCAGAAGACATCTCCTATTTCCTCTAATAATATTTCCAGCTAACGCAAGTTGCTCAGAGTTTAGTTAATGTTCGCAAATCCCTTTAAATATGTAAAGTGCTATATTAGGTATATCTGGTTTCAGTTTACATGGTAAGCTCTTTACTGTAAGTGTTACTGTAGCTTCTTCTTCATCATAATAAGCAATTAGGCAATATTGAGCCAAATTCTAGCCCAAGCTGTTCCTTCAGCACAGAGGCTTCAACATGATGTGCCTGCAACCCTGTTTCTCTGAAACAACATTTGCCTTCTGACTTCAGGGCTGGTGTTCCTATGGGAGTGAGAAATACCTCTCTAGAGCTGAATTACAGTAGGGGAGATTGACTGGGGTGCATGGACCAAGATAAGCCTTCCTGGCTGATGCTCCTCAGCAAAACATACTATTTTCCCTGTTCCTCCTCCCCACCCAATCACACATGGAGTAAGGGATGGTCAAGCCCCTTCAGTGACACTTGAGCCTCCCAAATAATATAAAGATCTGCTCCATTTCCTCTTCCCTCCCAACTTCAGAAGTTCTGCACAGGTTGCTGCTGCCCGAGCAGGGATTTATGGGAGAGAAATAGCATTAGGGGTGAATGTACAACTGGTTTATTTTCAGGGATACATTTGACAGCTGAGGTGTCAACAATAGATAAAACGATAGTTGAATGTAGGTGAGGAGAGAAGCGATAACAAAAGCATGTGCTGGAGTAGCAGCCCTACTAACATTTGGAGGTTTTGCTTTTGAACTGCATCCAGACACTTGAAACAAGTGGTCATGGTCACAGAAAGATGTCAGTAAGGAATCTTGAGAGAAGCAAAGGCTGGAACAGCCTGTTTTCTATGGTTCTTTTCAAATTAACACTTGAAGGTGGCTGGGCAAGAAAAAATGTGTCCAGCAAATCTTTTTCATTTGCTAGTTTCAGATTTAGAATATATCAAACCTGGGGGTTATCTTGCATTCCTATTTAGTTACAGAGGGCAGCACTGTTTGTAGATCAAGTTCAAAATTAAATACAGTATGTTGAGGACATGGAAATGACTAAGCATGCAGTTCCTATAATCACCAATGGGCGCTCTAGCAGGGTTGTGTGTGGTCCTTAATCAGTGCCAGCCCTCAAGATTTCATATGGTAAGAGGGGGAACCTGGGACTGGTTTGGCAACTGGAGGGTGCGGGGGGAAAGGGTTGGTCTCTCAATTCATCTTTCAAAATGTTGGTGGATTGTGTGTACAGGTGATGACAGGAGTCAGTGTTAAAACTCCCATTTACTGAAGTGGTTCAGAATTAGGCACTAAATAATGAGACCCTGCTGAAAGATGAGCCAGGCCTTAATAAGTGCGAAGTACTGTTGTGTTACAACAGGAAGGTTTTGAATAAAGAAGAATTTTCATATGCTAATTCTAGAGAATATAAACTCAGTCAGCCATGAGCCTTAGGCAGCTATCATAACACGGAAACACATAGGCCATTTTCCCAAAGATTTTTGCGACCTCCACATGTAAGATTTGTTAATTTGTTGTGTGCGATTTTAAACAGTATAGTTACATAGTCATGCAAAGACAGGATGCACAAAACGTATTGCATCTTTAACATTTTTTCCATAGGATAGAATTTTTCTGCATTAATTTATTTCCACAGAAAAAGAGAAATCAATTCTTTAAAGATTAAGCTGGTATTACTTTAAAACTAAAAGGTTGATATTTTTCCATGGTCTTTTTTGTCTTTCTGAAATAATGAAAGTTAACAGATCTTATCAAACCAGAATTACAGCATTTTCATAGCAGCCTTTTAACCTTCTCTCATGCCAGCAGCATTTTCCAATTGCAGAAAATGCGTAGTGGGACATCCTTTCAAATAAATCACATTACACTTTCAGGAAATTGCTTACAAAAAATTCTGAAATAACCAAATAATTGGCTTTGAATAGTCATCTAAGTTATACAGAATCATTACAGCAGTTGGATTTTAAAATATGGAGGTTGGTTGGTTTGTTTGTTTGTTTTACCCTCTATGTTAAAGTAACCTTGGTAAATTACAGATAATCTTTGTTGAAATTGTAAGGGTGGATGGATACTCTGTATCCACAACTATCTATTTCTCTTAAGTTTCTGATGGACATAAGAAAATAGAATCTGAAATCCAAAGGCACCATAAAAGCCAATGGCCTTTATAGGAATATAGAATAACTAGAAGTTTTTATTTTCAGATTGTGCAGTATTTTATTTGCTTTGTCTGAAAAATAGGACCTGACATTCTTACGCTTGATGTTTTTAAGAATTCTGCAGAAGTAGAGAATGCTAAAATAACTTTCAAAGCTAGTGGTGAATTTTTTCCATCTTCCCTTCTGGCACCCAAAAGGAAATAGCTAGCTTTAATTAACAGAAGATACGTTCCCAGCCAAAAGAGCAAAACTGGTTACAAGAAAAAAATATGCCTGCAGCACTTATTTAGATAAGAAAAAGGAATTCCAGAGAACATGAAAGAGACGTCTTATTTTTTTATATATGTAAGCCTAAAGAGATAATGGACATGCCCAAATCCTAAATGTTTTACAGGCTTTTCTGTGAGTTCACACTAATGGCCAGTTTTCTTTTGAAGTCTATGTTTTGGTTACACTGTTTCAGAAAAATCAAACAAAGAACAAAATTAGGGATCACTCGTCGGCTGGTATATTTATAACTTCTTATAAAATCAAATTATTATCATCTTTATATTATAGCACCACATGCTAACCACTGTACAGAGAACAAAAAGATGATCCCTGTACTAAGGAGAATACTACTTCATATAGTGTAGAGTCAAAGTGAAAGTCACAAAGGACACAGTCCTGCATCTTAAGCACCCCAGATGCCAAAGGACTCCAACACATGTTTTGTGTGTGCAAAATGAGCAAGAATGGTCTTAACAAACTTCTGTCAGAGAGGAGGATACTGAAATGATTGTGTGATCCTCAGTGGTGAACCTTTCCTGGCTAACAACTAGTAATAATAATAGTCTAGAAATACTAAAAGAACTTGGATAGAATTCTGGATGCCCATTGGAGGACCAGTCCTTCAAACCCTTACTGACAGGTGTAATGGTAAATCATGTGATTTGTCCCATTACAGTGATTAAATCCCAGGAAGTGGAACTACTAATCAGTAAGTGCTTAACAGTGGTTCTCAAACCGTGGCTCGGGACCCCAAAGTGGGTTGCAGCCCTGTTCTAATGGGGTCGCCAGGGCTGGCATTAGAATTGCTGGGGCCAGAGGCTGAAGCCAAAGCCTGAGCTCCACGACCCAGGACTGAAGCTGAGGCTTTTGGGTTTGGACTTTGCCCCTCTCCTCCCTCACCCCTACCCAGGGTGGCGGGGCTCAGATGAGCTCAGACTTCGGTCCCCCTCCTGGGGTCGTATAGTAATTTTTGTTGTCAGAAGGGGGTCACGGTGCAATGAAGTTTGAGAACCCCTTCCTTAGAGCATCTGGCCTTGGTTCTGGCTTTCTTTTTGGCTGCAAAATTTCACATAACATTTCACTATACCATTGAGAAATGAGTATTTTGTTACATTGAATTTATGGGAGGGGGGAACTTCTGGCTATTTCTCCTGTGACTCTTTGAGTATATAAAATAACACAAATAAATATGTGTGATTTCTGCAGAATCAACCGTTTTTATTCCTCAATCCACATACACAATTGAAGAAGACATTGGGGAACTGTTCATTCCTGTCAGAAGAAGTGGAGATGTCAGCCAGGAATTGATGGTGATCTGCTATACACAGCAAGGTAACAGAATCTAGATTAAGTGAAAATAATAACCAACGCTAAAATAATTATTATTTCTGTCGCAGAATATACAAATAATTCCCAGCACTGGTAATTATTTTCTGCTTGTATAGTTTCTATGTCAATTGGTAGTGCTATTCCTCTTCACTTTATTTCTTAAACTGTTCTGTGTGTTGTTAAATAGATGCTGTGTTCCATTATAGAAATAGTTGCAGTTCATTGATCGATATTCCTTGCCTATTTCACAGGGTCTTGTGTACAGTACCTAATGTCTGGAAGTAATGTCAGTTATGTTTTTTGAGATCCTCCAGATGAAAGATTCTCTACAGGTAGTATGATAGTAGACGTAGTCTTTCCATTTGACTTCATTAAACAGTGACAAGCTTTTAAAAAATGTTGTTTGAGCTGATAGAGCTTTCAAGATACAGCTGTGCTTAGCATAGCTAAGTGCATAGTTTTTATGACAGAGAGAAATATATTTTGGCTTTTTTTCTTGAGTATTACAGGTTTCCTCTTCTTTTTAGTGAGAAATTCTAGTATTTATAGAAACACCACAGAATGCCAATAAAGCAGCAGAACCACTATGGTTCTGCCTCAAAGAGGCCTGAGGTCTGGAGAGGCTGTGCTACAAAGCTGAGCTCCAGGAAGGTTTCTTTATTGATGTTTGTAAAGAAACAATTGGATGGAAACCTCTTTAGAAATAAAAATAGTACTTATTATTATTCTTGTTTCTGCTAACCACCCCTCTGTTAAGCCTTTTGTGCGCTTATTTTGGCTAGCTGTTCTTCTTCCCTTCTAAACTAGATTTGTAAACAGTAGTCTCCTATTTGGTATCTGCAAATTATTTTCAGGGATCATATGTTCACTTTGATACTCAGTGGTTTGAGCATTGGCCTGCTAAACCCAGGGTTGTGAGTTCAATCCTTGAGAGGGCCATTTAGGGATCTGGGGTAAAAATTGGGGGTTGGTCCTGCTTTAAGCAGGGGGTTGGACTAGATGACCTCCTGAGGTCCCTTCCAACCCTGATATTCTATGATTCTATGATACCTAAATAACATAATGTTTGAAACTCAGGTCAGTAGACAGTTAAATTATCTATATTACAGCAGCAAATAATTGCAGGTCCAATGTAGAGCCCAGAGTTGTTTGCATCTGCAAAATAATGAGCACGAAATAGGATGTGTAATTTAGGGCCTTTGTATATAGGCGTCTCTTTTTATTTTATTTTTTTATTTTTTCCCTGACTAGAACTGTCCCATGTTTTTCCATCAAAATGATTTTCAACAGAAAATGTGGTTTCTGCACCAAAAGTTTTCAGTTTTCTGTTGGGAAAATTAAAATGAAATATTTCATTTTAGGTTAGATTGCCCTGAATCGAAATACTTAGGTTAGTGGAACTGAATCAAAATGTTTCATTGTGGCTCTGTTTGAAAAGGTGAGCTGCTGCAGTGCATTGTGGGATATGTTGTTCGGATGATTTATGCATCTGTTCTGCCCTCAGGGCTGGGCTCCTTGGCCAGACTACATTTCTCCTCTGTGATGTACCGTGGTCTCTCCTCTAACTGAACCACCGTGGTGCATCGTGAGAGATGTATTTCAACCAGGGAGCTCATCCCATAGGGAGGAACAGGAGAATGAGGCACCAGGCAGCTCATCTTAATACAAGTCAATGCTGAACTGAGCTGTAATGAAACATCTTGGTTTAGGAATGTCAAAATGTTTTGTTTTGTTCAAAATTGTCAAAACAAAATGGTTCAGCATTTCTGAATCCATTTTTTAAAACTTTTAATTTTATGAAAACTTTCAAAATTTCAACATTTTGTCCTGAATTGGAATAAAAATAAACATTGGAAGAATTTCCCAAGGGACAGAAGTTCCAGCTTTCAATCAGCTCTAATTCTGAAACTGGTGAGACCTTTGATGAAAGCTACTTGGTTAATTTTTTGCTTGTAAAACCTGAGTGGTTAGCTTTTCGACCGCATTTTTCACCTCATGATGTAGTTTCTTTACACTATGTTGAGGTATTTGATGTTAAAGCCTGTAGCTGAGCACATTATAAAATGCTTTTTCAGTACAATTATAGCGCATAAGCTTAAAACTTTTCTCACTCACTCAACTGCCTGGCTCTTGCAAACCCAAGAATAATTACATATGGCTCAGCATAGCTGAAAGGTTGGAGATCACCAAATTAAAGGCACAGAAATGGAGTGGTGTTTTGAGATACTCACTTATCAAAAGAAATCTGGGTAGTAGGAAAGATTAATGCTTTTTGTAGATGACCTTGGATGCATAGTTGTCAAGCTGGGAGAATTAAGTTAAGTGTATCTGCAGCTTGTAATGAAATCCTGAAAGCAGGACACACACTGCAACAGTGCTGGTTACCTAAGTATGCCTTTTCCCCTTATTATTGTTAAATATATGTACATTTACCAAGTTCACCTCTTTCAAGTACAATACAATCTGCTGACTTTTAAAACAGAATATTTGCGAAAAGCCGTAACACCTTGAAAAACATTTTCTTCTTAACCAAAAGTTTCTGGGCTATGTTGTGCCCTTGAACTGTGCACAACTCCCAGTGATTGACATGTTAAAGTGACATGTTAAATTGCGCTGATTAAAACCTCTCTCTTTTGTGTAACGCCTTATTTATTGGCAGAAATGTGTAATATTTTGTAAATACATTTGTGGAATAGTTTCTCAGCAGTTGTACTGGTTATTCCATGCAAAGTTAGGTGGCCAAATGTTGAGTTGAATTTTAATCTTTTTCACAACATTGGTATGTGGATATTACAGCAGTTTCCTATCTGGAAATTCCAAAGAGATATAGTTAGTGCACACTTGTTTGGGAATGAAAACAAAGAGTGCCGGAATTTGGTTCTAAAAGGATAACTGGAGAGGATTAATGCAGGGCTATCTCAGCAGTGACTTTATAACATTTTTCAGATGAGAGAAATTGTTATATTTTATCAGTTCTGTATCATGGGCTTCTTCAGTCTTGCCAGCAAACAGAAAAAAACAGAGAAATGAAAACTATTGTTCCTTGTGCTCATTAAAACAAATAGAGTTTGCATTAGTTGCCATTAGGACAGTTTTAAGACCATCTTCTCACACAGAACATAGTCCAGTTCAAAAAAATCTCATTTGAGCTCACTGATTTGTCATTAGTCAACTTGTTCTGCTATTAAGAATTGTTTATTTTGTACATCATAATAATACCAATGTAGTATTATGGTAAATACTAAAAAACAAACAAATTCTGTAAGAGATAGCAACCCTCATGCTTCACGGCTTCGCTCTGCCTTTGACTATTGGGAAAATTAGAAGGAAACTTTCCGTGGGACAGGCGATCTCCTAACTGCCTATTTCACTGTTTCTTAACACCTTTCTCAGACTCAGCTGATACTGGCATCTCTTGGAGAAAGAATACTAGATCTACCATTGGCCTGATCCAATATGGCAACTCCAGTGTTTCTTTGTACATGCATTTAATGGATACTTGTACATACTTTGCAATGGATGCATCTTATCAGTCTAAAAATAAATAGGAATAAAAATGGAAAGCTAAAGAGAATAAAATTCAACCTTAGTAAGGGATTCTTTAAAATATTACAGGTGCTTATTTACTTCTGTCTCACAGGAACAGCAACTGGTACTGTCCCAATGTCTGTGCTGTCCTACTCAGATTACATATCCAGGCCCGAGGACCATAACAGCATTCTCCGCTTTGACAAAGATGAACGAGAGAAAATGTGCCGTATTGTCATCATAGATGATTCCCTGTATGAAGAAGCTGAGACATTTGATGTTCTGCTGAGCATGCCGATGGGTGGAAGAATTGGTTCGGAATTCCCAGGGACTCAGGTTACTATTGTGCCTGACAAAGACGATGGTAAGACTTAATTTATCAAGATGGTATTACCAGTGAGGGACAGAAATGGCATATAATATGGCCCTTCAATCATGATGTAAGATCTGGGTTTACTGGATTTCCTCTCTCCCTCACTTGATACAAATGCATGATCATGGCCTTCAGAAGTTTTGAAAGCATAATTAGGGGGATAGTGATTTTTTTTAAAATCACTATCCCCCTAATTAAAAGTCAGTATTGCTATTTTAAACTTCAAGAACATGCAATCATTGTAAAATTAGCTGAGTATTGGAAGCTCACCTTTCCACTCTGACAGATTTCACGATTTCTGGAGGGTGTGATCTGGGAGGTCACACCGAATGGAAATCGATGATGAAATCGATGATGTTTGTTATCCACGTTCCTTACTCTTTTTAGTTAAGCAAAGGCTGCTGCCTCCTGATAATCCAGAAGAGTCTAGTTCTTGTTACAAAATATGAATACAATCCGTTGACAAATCTGATGTCAGAATAATGTTCATATTTTGTATCAGGAGACCAACACAATTAGATGCTTTGTTTCTGGCCGGAGTGACCCATGGCTCTGATGTATTGCTTTGAAAGGAGCAGAACTTTGTTGATGGGCTAGAGATCTGTGGCAGGAGAGGTGTAGGGCTGGGGAGGGGGTGGGGAAAAATATTGTATTCTCTCCTAGAGAATGCACACTAAAGCTAATGCTGCCTGAGGCAGCAGCATCTTTTGTGCAATCTCCGTAGCAGTAGAAAGGAGTCCCAGGTAGCATATTACAGGTAACAGTCCCAGTCCTTTAACGGACTCTGCCCTGAGCTCAGTGAGTTTTAGGGGCTTGCGTGGGTCGAAAGCCTTTTTCTCACTCAGGAGGATTGTTCTCCTGGAAATTCTGTGAAAGGAATATTGTGGGGTTCTCTAATTTCCAGTAGAATGCTTTTTCCTGTCAGGCTGTGATCTGGCCTGCAGTTAGATCATTGTGTCTACTAGAATTCTTTGAGGGAGTTAACAAGCATGTGGACAAGGGAGATCCAGTGGATATAGTGTACTTAGATTTTCAGAAAGCCTTTGACAAGGTCCCTCACCAAAGGCTCTTAAACAAAGTAAGCAGTCATGGGATAAGAGGGAAGGTCCTCTCATGGACTAGTAACTGGTTAAAAGATCAGAAACAAAGGGTAGGAATACATGGTCAGTTTTCAGATTGGAGAGAAGTAAATAGTGGTGTCCCCCAGGGGTCTGTACTGGGAACAGTACTATTCAATATATTCATAAATGATCTGAAAAAGGGTAAACAGTGAGGTGGCAAAATTCTCAGAAGATACAAAACTACTCAAGATAGGTAAGTGCCAAGCAGACTACAGAAGTACAAAGGGCTCTCGCAAAACTGGGAGTCATTGTGGATAGTTCTCTGAAAACATCCACTCAGTGTGCAGCGGCAGTTAAAAAAAAAAAGCTAACAGAATGTTGGGAATCATTAAGAAAGGGATAGATAATAAGACAGAAAATATCATATCTATCTAAATCCATGGTATGTTCACATCTTGAATACTGCATGAAGATGTGGTCGCCCCATCTCAAAAAGGATATATTGGAATTGGAAAAGGTTCAGAAAAGGATAACAAAAATGATTAGGGGTATGGAACGGCTGCTGTATGAGGAGAGATTATTAAGACAGGGACTTTTCAGTTTGGAAAAGAGATGACTAAGGGGGGATATAATTGAGGTCTATAAAATCATGACTAGTGTGAAGAAAGTAAATAAGGGAATGTTATTTACTCCTTCTCATAACACAAGAACTAGGAGTTCACCAAATGAAATTAATAGGCAGCAGGTTTAAATCAAACAAAAGGAAGTATTTCTTCACACAATGCACAGTCAGCCTGTGGAACTCTTTGCCAGAGGATGTTGTGAAGGCTGAGACTATAATGGTTCAAAAAGAATTAGATAAATTAATAGAGGATAGGTCCTTAAACGGCTATTAGCCAGGATGGGCAGGGATGCAACCCTATGTTCTGGGTGTCTCTAGGCTCTGATTGCCAGATGCTGGGACTGGACAACAGGGGATGTATCACTTGATTATCTGTTCTGTTCATTTCCTCTGAAGCACCTGGCTTTGGCCACTGTCAGAAGACAGGATACTTCTTTGGTCTGATGCAATATGTCAGTTCTTATGTTCTTATGTCTCATAGAGGCCGATATGAAAAAATGTATCCTTACCACACAGTACAGTGCATGCCCTGTGTAAAGCTGATTTCAGAATATTATGGGCACAGTAGTTTTTCAGTACTTAAGAATATAACTAGTTACCTGTTAAAAAGCTGAAAATTGATATCCCTCCTAATTACACTATAAGTACCCAGTCTGCCTGGAATTTGTAACATGTGACCCTGTGACGTGACAGAGGTGATTTTGTTTTCTGTATGGAAGGTTTGAGGTAATCAACTGCAACATTCATGAGCTATGGCAGTTTGAAATATCCAGGAATTGTGCTTCTTGCAAAGTTTCTCAGAGTTTATTAGTCATGTCATATTTCAAACACAGGCTGACATAGAATGTTCATAATTAGCTTACTTCACTGCCCTCAGCAAACACTGGTATATTGGAGCATATTTGTAAGTTTAATTAGTTAATTTTTGAGATATTTGATGTTTTGGGGGGAATTTTACTGAGTTCATAAACTTCTCAGCCATTTCTGACAGAATAATGTTAGGACCTGTAGTTTGCAGGCTTATTAAAGACTGAACACAAACCAGCTGCGTACATGGGCTATAAGATGTGCAGACGTCTTAAAATTTGAAAAGAAAGCCACAGGTATCCCCCGCAGAAGTTACTGGACATGCAAACTCACCTGGAGGTTCAACGCACGGACTTCAGTGAAATCTCCACCAGTGCTTCTGAGAACTGTGTTTAGCATTTATCCCACTGAGTGAAAATGTTTAGAATAATAGTCACTCATTTTGTTAGGTGCAGTTGCAGCTTATGCACACACTTTAACACAGTACCCATATGGTATCTGTTATTACCATCAGGATGTCTTTGAGTAGGTAGCTAAGGCGGTAAACTGATCAATAGTAACATAGCCCAGAAAAACTAAGATCAAGTTACCTTACATAATGGCCATGCACCAAAGATGGAATTAAAAAGAAAAATCTTTACGCTAATGTCAGTAGTAGGAAACGTTACAGCAAAAGCAGTTTGCTTCCTGTACCATCTCAGCTTTAACTGTAGTGTTCACTGCATTAATGAACGCTATTGCCTCAATCCTGCCAACACTTGCACACATGAGTAGCTTTACCCACAAGTAGTCTCACTGAGTACACTTATTCACATGCAAAAGGGTTGAAAGGGTGTGGGTGTTATATTTCTAATGTGAAGTAATGGAACATTCTGTATTGGCTGGAAAAAGAAAAACAGTAGCTGTTTTGGCTGTTAAAAGGTAAATTTTCTTTTTAGGTACAAGTGTTCCTAGACACATCCCAATTTATCTGTCACAGCCTAATATGTTGCATCTGGTATATCTGAAATATTTTGTAGGCCATCCCACACAGAGGTAGCTGTGCAGTGCTTTCTGTGTCAGTGAAACTTCTCCCAGAAGAAATTCAAGTGCTTTTAAAAAGCTGCTGACAATTCATTTAGCACGTCACTCTTCTGTTTAGAGTTTGAAAAAATCTGAATGCACTATAAAGAAGTATACTAGAGGGATCAATTCAGAAGTATAATGCTTTTTGGTTTTGTCTAACTTGATAGTGTCCTTATTTAATATTTTGTAGGTCACCTGAGAAGTCAATATTTTGGAAAGTAGCATAAAATGATCAGTAGAATTTAAGAAGCATTCATTCTTTATTATTGTGTATGCTGCACAAAATTCCTGGTAATTGTGTTCAGTCCTTTGATTTGTTAAAAATTTGCCACATGAAAGAAATAGCATTTTCATTGGCTTTGTAATATTATAAATATACTTGTATCTAAAACATCTCTCCAATGGAAGAGTTAAGGTTGTGACACATTTATAGTAACCTATCAAGTGCAGAAACATTATCATACTAAATCCTGAGTCCCATTACTGCACATCTGTAGGGGATATGGAGCTATATTATTATTCTTGTTTGTTTGTTAATGGGATTTACACTTAGGTAACAGAGATTCTTTGGCCAAATGTAACAGCCTGTCATTTTGTGCTGATTTCCCAAAACACTGTGACTGGATTAACATCATGCATCAGTGTCTGGAGGTCATAAACCACAAACAGGAAAGGTCAAAGTTTAATAATTCTACATCAGGTCTTTCATAAGGAAGTCAAGTCAGCACTAGAAACTTTTTGCCTATATCCACTGGCATTCAGTGCAAGTTAATTAGGAAACATTCATCTTCAAAACCTTTGATCAGTTTCTTTTCTTTCTGGTATAAACCCATGGGATTTAAACTAAAATAGTTGAGTTTGAATATAATAATGACAATTGATAAACCAAGAATAATTGAAAAGACTCACCTCAAGCTTTATGGTGAACCCAAGAAAGACTAAGTGTAATAAACCCCTCAGGGAATACAGTATTTAAATGTGGCTTATGTGCAGTTAAACTGTGTGGTCGGAACAAAAATTTGTAAAGAAGTAATTCTAAATGAGACAAGTACTGGTGTATTACAGGCTGAGGAAATATGGTTTTAAAATCTACAGTGCTGTGGGGATATTTTTACTTTGAAACTGAGTTTCCCTAATACAGCACAAACTTGAGGATAGAAAAGGGGCAAAAAAAATCAACCAAAGGAACACCAGACCAGGTCCTCATCAGGGGGTTGGACTAGATGACCTCCTGAGGTCCCTTCCAACCCTGATATTCTATGATTCTATGATGTAAATAGCATTTGGAATTGTTTGTTTCAATGTTACATATGCTACCACAATTGAAATGTTAAATAATAACATGGATCTGTTTGCATCAGAGATTAAGGTTACAAAACATAACATGCAGAAGGAAGTACAGTAGGTGAAGAAACCTACAGAAAGAGTATTTACAT